TGACCATGACAGCTAGGATTATTGTACCTAAAAAGGTTTGCAGCTAGTGATGAGAATTATAGCATGGTCACCAGAATCATACACAGTATAGTCGATGTAGCCTTATTAACAAGTCTGGTCTCAGACACAGCATCATATATTTTATGCAGACACTCAAAGAAAATAGTTTGCACTCAGTTTGCTACCATGGCATTGAGAGTAGGTGGCATTTAAGATTCAGATAACAAATATTTTTCATAGAAGAAGGAGGGATGGAAAATATAAACAGAATAAATAAAATAAAAATAAATAAAATAAAACAGAATATATATTTTAAAAATAGCCAGGGAGACTTTAGGAAGAACAAGCTTGGAAAGAAGGTGATAACAGATAGCTAAAATGAACTTAAGGTAGTAGAGAAAGAATATTTCAAAATATGTTAAACAGCACTCACCCTTGCTAGTTTGTGAATAAGCCTGATTTCCACTAAGCTTTGAGGCTATGTTTTCAGGAAAAAATGCCAAAGAGAAATCTACTCATTATAAAGACTCCTCAGTGAGGTTAAAGAAGATGAAAGATTTTACTAGTCAAAGGAATCACCAGCTATACCAGCGGTTCTCAACCTATGGGTTGGGACTCCATTTGGGGTCAATCGACCATTTCACGGGGGTCGCCAAGCAAGGCTGTCCGCCATTTTTTTGTCCGCCATTTTTTCCCCCTTTTCCGGCGGGTGCCTTACCTCCCTTGGGCTGGGCCAGCTGGTGGTCGGCCTGCTCCGTCTCTGCCGCTTGCCAGCTACGCCTCGGCTGGCGCAGGGGGCGGAACCACGCATGCGTGGCACTCCCGGGCAGGGAAAGTCCTTCACTTACGACCGGTTGGGTAGTCCTCGACTTACGACCGGTTTAGTCCTCGACTTACGACCGGTTTAGTCCTCGACTTACGACCGGTTGGGGGTCGCGGCATTAAAAAGGTTGAGAACCACTGAGCTATACCAAGGCCAGCCACCAGTTCATCAACTGAGAGGAGAAAAAGAAAACTTCCCACTAAAACCTACAAACCTTTTTTTAACTCTAGAATTATGAGAAGCAGTTAAAAAATAGGATAAAATTAGAACAGAGTACACTTACACCAACTGAGTGCATAGATTAGAGCAGAAAAGTTGGAAGTTCAGAAAAAATGGTATGTTTTAACGTGCAGATTTGAATGGGAGGGAGCTAATATACAGAGCAATCATATCTGCAAAGCTTAAAGCTGAAAAAATGAAACTGTTTTTGCTGTATTTTATTGGTAGTTTGAATTAAGGGAAAAACCTCTTCCTCAAACTACAGTTTTGTACTGTTTCTTTCAATCAAATTCTTCAAACCCTCAGGTGCTGTGTGCTAGTTGCCTATGTCATCTGAACTCATATACTTGAATCTGTGGGTTTAGAAAAATAGAGATTAAAATAAAAGCAATGGGCAACGAATGTGATTTTGACATACAGCCTGCACACCTTCTAAAACCATTTGGCATTTCTTTCATTTTCTAGGCCAAAGAAACGGGTTAAGGCTGGTTAAGTGCTATTAGTAAACTATATTCCTACCACCATAGAAAGATTTTATATCTAGGAAGGCTTTTTGTGAAGCTATTCTAAAAGCTTCACATTCAAATATATTGACAAGATTTTGGTTTGAATCATTTGACTGCACTTTAAAATGAAGGAAATGCTAAGTGCTTTTAGAACGTCTGAAAATTAGCCCCATGTACAACATGTTTTCAATTTTTGAAAAAAACATGGAGAAGTGAGGGTACATGGGATAAGGAGGCTATGTCTGCAAATTATTCAGGTAGCATACATGGATAAGGCTTACCATTAAACTTAAATATTGGGACACCAACAGTATTTGTAATATTTGTTTTATTTTCTAATACTGTAAGTAACTAGAGAGTATTGGTAAGAAAAAAGGCTACTCTTCTGGAACACATATGATCCCTTATGTTAGACTGCACATCCATATAAAGACATACATATCTATATTCCAGAAGATTCTATTAAAATGTCTTAAGTTTTTTCCTTGTTTACAAAATTTACCTATTGATTCTACTGCCTTCCTTACATGGACACATAAAGAAAGTCAATGTCCTTTATGTACAATTATCCAGCTTCACTCACGGATCCAGATGTTGCTGTTATTATATCTGCACATGTGATGTTTCCTTTTCTCTTTTTTCTTACCAGAGATCGTTATGAAAGGCATAATGCTCTTCAACTGACACCAATAGGAATGTATCCCTAACCCAGATTTGATCCAAGACCTCACAGCCAAAACACTGAGTTTAAAATAAATAATAAGAAATCTTAGGTGGGCAATATTCAACATGCTAAAAGGGAGGACAGACGAAGCCCTTCAGAGTTTAAGAAAACAGGATTGCAAAATGAGAATATCCTTTTAAATCTTGACTCCCATCAGATGCCCATTACATTGCTGGCTTTTTCCCCCAACCAGGCATCTTCTAATTTTGTTGGGATTGCAAATCCCAGAATTTCCAGGTAGGCTTGGAATTCTAGACGTTGAAAGCTCCCAACAACAGGAGAATGTCAGGTTAGGAGACACTGCCACTAAGTTAAGATTCACTCATGGTAATGACCAAAATTATAATACAGGACACTATCCCCTTTCAAACAATAGAGTGTGGCTATGCTTTTCATTGGTAAGTCTCAAACATTGGTCCATGGACTATCCATCATTCATGGAGATTCACCAGATGGCCTGCCAGTTTCTCTGCAATCACACTTCAGAACCTACCCATAGCTTCATAGATCCCCAGCTGATCTGTGCACTGACAGTCAGCTGGCTCTCAAGAACAGATCACTAGCTGAAAACTAATTCACTGAAGTGTTAAGTGATAGCATAAATAATAATGTGAATACTAACAGCAAACTGACAAGTAAACAGGTTGCAAGCATAGTTATTGGCTACCAGTCTGCCCATATTATACTGAATGGAACACACATGCAACCTGAAAAGTGCAAATAGGAAATGGAACAATGGATATCTTAAAAAAGGGCTGGAAATGTTTCTTAATAATGACAAATTTTGTTGAAGAAAATTTTGATCAAGCTTGTACTTAAAAGAGTTGCTATTACGGCGTGGCCATATATTTTTTTAATTCACCATTTATTTTTGAACTTAGACCTAATACAAAAGACCATGTTTTAAATTAAAATTTTTTCTCTTTCGTATATATTTACGTTTGTCTTTATGGGAGGGGGTTCCATTTGAGGGTATAATGATGTCTGTTCTACCGTAAACCGTCAAGAACGTAAAAGGATTACAAAGAAAACACCAGGTAGATTGCAGAACGTTTAGGCAACATTGCCTTGATTACAGCAGTCCAATAAACTCAGTCAATATAAATTTATTATATTCTGATGCTTGTTTTCTATAGCAGGGCTTTTCAACCAGTGGTATGGGTACCACCTGTGGTACATTGGCACCTGGCAGGTGGTACGCGACCATCCTAGAAAAGTGGTAGCAGGGGAGGGGAATGAGCTGAACTGGTGGTAGCACCACACAACCCTGAGCGAGAGATGGCTGGAGCTGCAGGGCTGTCAGGGCTCAGTGGAAGCGCCAGGATCAGTGCCAGGCTCCAGCTGGAACTCGGCACTGATCCTGGTGCTTCTGCTGAGCCCTGAAGAAGCACCAATCAGCTGGAATGTTGCAGCATCTCCAGGGTCTTGTAATTTACATTCAGATGCTTGGCAACTGATTCATATTTATGACGGTCACAGTGTCCCAGGGTCATGTGAAGTGACCAAAACCTGCTGCAACCACCCAACAGACGGGGGAAATAAAAACCAAATACCCCCCATTCCACCCCCGCTGCCAATCCTCAACAGAAATGTTCACAACAATGAAAACCTCGGACAGGAGGAAGAGCGCGGCCGGGCGGGCAGGCAGGTGTCTTGCTCGGCTGTGGCTTGGGGGCACTTTTTTCAGTGCAATTGTAACTTTGAACAGTCACTAAGCGAACTGTTGTAAGTCGAGGACTACCTGTACTTTATCACTTTTTTCCTTTTTTTGGGGTCATCAAGTTTTTGACACCTTGCTAGCGACTGGTGGTACTCGGATGTTGCCATATCCTAAAAGTGGTACAATGGGTGAAAAGGTTGAAAAGCCCTGTTCTATAGTATACATTACTGTTTTTTTTATTTTCAAATAGCTGTTTCAAAATTAATACAAATATAAAGTACAAATATTTATATAAGTGTAAAAATAGAAAAAAGGAAATTGTTATATTACCTTGCCATTAAAGGAGACTAACCAGGAAGAAAAAAAAATAACAATTCTAGTGATAATTACTGTAAACATTAGGCTAATAGCAACTCATCAGTCAGATCTATTGATAGAGCTAGTGTTTCATTCAGTCCTCTTGTTTGACTGCATCTTTCTGGATCTTCAGGATTCGACATGTTAAGTATTATTCCACTGTATTACGATTTCCCGCCTTCCTAATTTTATTTTCTCGGTGGAAGCAAATTCCCATTAATTCCCCTCACCGCACCAGAATCCTAATGAGCTCTACATATATCAGTGTTTAAAGAGGAGGAAAATCTGGCAAGTTGCCCAGACGAGCAGGTCAACGACGCATTAAAGACTGCGCGTTTTCACTGCACTTCGCGATCATCCCTGCACGCTGCCCCCCAATAATCACAGCTGAGCACAGGGACCCCCGGACCAGTACGCTGTTAGCAGAGACCCACCGATTTCACAGGGAAATGGAAACAGGGAATATGGGTGGCCTCCACATTGAAGAGAAGACCAACTCTGAGACCCATAACATCCGGGGCCATCTTCGCGGGATGCTAGGAATCTACCGCGCGGGTAAACGGGGCGCCCCCGACCCTCCGAGGAAAGCCAAGGGGCTGGCAGGCTCGCCCCATGCACACGTGGTCCAGCGGCCGCCTCCAGCGCCTCGAGAGAGTCACGTGCGGCCGGCGCCTGCTCCTCGAAGCCCCGTGTTTTGCCTGGCTGCTGAGGATGGTGGGGCAGGCGGCAGCAGCAGCTTTGGGCCGCGGGCTAGAGCGCAGAAACGCCGGCTGCTGGGGTCGGAGCCGAGGCGCCGTTCTGCTTCTCTTCTTCTCCTTGTCGCCAAGGCCCTCTGGCGGAGCGGCGTGGCTACTGGGGCTGCGGCCGGAGGATACGGCGCCCGGGCGCGTGTGGCTCGAGGGGGGAGCGCTGCGGGCGGCTGAGGGTTCCCGCTTCTTGTTGCGCCTCTACTTCCAGCCGCCGGCCGAAGGCAGCAGCGCCGCCAGTAACGGCAGCAGCGCGAGCGAGGAGGTTGAGCGCCGCGTCGTCTTCGTGGAGGAGCCCGCCCAAGTGGAGCGCTGTTCCGAGCGCAGCGCCTGGGCCTCGGACGTGGAGGTGCTGGGCCCGCTTTTGCCCGGAGGCTCGGCCGGCTCGGCTTTAGCCGAGGTGAGAGTGCGGGAGCCGCGAAAGGGTGAGCCCGGCGCCGGGCCTGAAGGGCGTCGGTTCGGGCTCTGCGCTTGGGATGGACGAGCCTGGCAACTGCACGGCGCGCCGGGGGGCTTCGTGCTGCAAGTGGAAACGCCGGCAGTGGGCTCGGCCGCGTGGCTGATTCCGTTGCCCACCGCCGGCTGGTTGCGGGCTCTGGGCGCGCTAGCCCTGATAGCCCTGTCGGCGCTGTTCAGCGGCCTCCGCTTGGCCGTGCTGTCACTCGATCCGATGGAGCTGCGGGTACTGCGCAACAGTGGCTCGGCTGCAGAGAGGGACCAGGCGCGCAAGGTGGAGGCTGCGCGCGGCCGAGGCGGAAGCGGCACTTACCTACTGTGCACTCTGTTGCTCGGACAGGCAGGTGCTAACGCCACGCTGGCGGGCTGGTTGTGCGCTGCTCTACAAGCCAGTCGCATTTCCCTGCCCGAAGACAACCAAGGTGTGCCGTGGCTGCCTGTGCTGCTCTGCACCAGTGTCGTCCTCTTGGGTGGTGAGGTGTTGCCCTACTCCATTTGTTCCCGCCACGGCTTAGCCATTGCAGCGCACACGCTCTTTCTCACCCGCCTGCTTATGGCCGCCACCTTCCCCATATGCTATCCACTCAGCCGTTTGCTAGATTGGGCTTTGCATCAAGAGCTCAGCACCTTCTCCACAAGGGAGCACCTGCTGGAGACCCTGCGGGCTGCTGACCCTCATGGTGATCTTGTGAGTGAGGAGCTGGCCATGGTTCAAGGTGCACTGGAGTTACGCACCAAGGTAGTTGAGGACATCTTGACACCTCTGAATGATTGTTTTATGTTGCACTCTGATGCCATACTTGACTTCACTACCATTTCTGAGATTCTTCGCTCAGGCTATACCCGCATCCCTGTCTATGAAGGTGAGCGACGAGACAACATTGTCGACTTGCTGTTTGTCAAGGACTTGGCTTTCGTGGATCCTGATGACTGCACACCACTGCAGACAGTTACTCGCTTCTATCACCGCCCGCTGCACTGTGTCTTCCATGATACCCGCCTAGATACGCTGCTCGAGGAGTTCAAGAAGGGTGAGGGCCCGGGGCCCCAGCCACTCGCCTCCTGCCAGCATCACATGCCTCTCTACTCCCTGTGCACCCTGCTTGCGAGGTACCCTGGGATCCCACCGTGCCCCCTCCTGCACTGGTCTACCCTCTTTCTGTAGCCTGGATGTTGTGGCTGAATTATTGGAACAGCACACCAATGTGTCTATGTATGGGTGCATGTGTGTGTGTGCCTATTTATGCTCTATCACATATGGCTCATTGTAAGTCACTGGAATTATCGAAAAGGTTTTCCAAATAGATTACCATGATATACTAAGGAGTTTTCTCCTGAAACTCTTTAATAGCATTTTCTCCAATTTGTTCCACTGTTTATATAAATTGACATGCTTTTGTCAATCTTTCTGCTTGTAAATTTATGCATTTCTATTCAGTGCAGAGAAACCATGAGCTGAAATTGGAGTGTTATCTCTTTACCTTCAATTGCAAAGGAGAAATGAGGCATAATTTTCCTATTCTAGCAAAATGTTAGGAAGTCTGGTCCATACTGACTCAGAAATACTATGTTTTAAAGCTCAACATAACTAGAGGATACCAGGTTGAAAAAGATTGCCCAGTGCTAACTGGCAGTAGTTCCACAGGCTTCAGGCAGGGCCTTAGTCTTTTTCAGTCCTATCTGGTTACTCTGGGGATCAGATCTGAGTCCTGTGCGTAAAGTATGTGCTACAGCATCAAGCTTTGAATCATATGCAACATGAAACTGTCATTTCTTGTCCTAATATCTGTTGTAAACCTGTCTTCAGTAGCAAAATTATTATAGGACAATTAACTCAGTCTTTACAACTTTGATACCATATTCAGACATAACACTGAATGGTGTCTAATTTGTTAATATGGAGGCAAGAAAAAACAGAAGTAAGAAATTGCTTCTATAAAGAGAGTTTCAGCTCTCTGCAAACTCATTCTTTAAAAATAACATTCAGGTGAGGTTGTGGAGAAATATAGAGTCATTCAAGAAAGCACATCATATATTATCAGAGTTAACATTTAATTTAGATTTGTAGGTTGCATATACAGAACCAGCAAACTTGGGAATTTTGCACAGATTGAATGGGATGGTCTTTAACTCCCATAGCCCTATAGTCAGTGTAACCATCTTCTGTGCTTGCTGGTAACTGTAGGAATTAAAACCCAAAACATCTGGAGAGAATGAGATTGGGGATTGCTGATACAGGTTATAGGCAAGGGCATTGCTCACCTAAATTGAGAAAGACAGGTATTTAGTCAGACAAGAATTCTCATGAGATTGAATGAATAAATGGCAAACTCAAAGTCCAGAGCTACTCCTGGGCTTCCAGACATCATTTATACAAAATCTATGGTTTTTTTCTTTCTCAACATGATAGATGGTGGTTTTGGGTTTAGTTCTGCAATTAGTGATGAAACTCATCCTAGGAAGAAGAAACGAGACACAGTTGCACTGTCACAATTTATGTTGCACTGTTATAATATGCATTTAGAAGAATCATCTTTCTCAGAAAAGTATTTTGTATTTCTTGCATCTGTGAACAGAGTAATATCACTTTCAAAAGGATGGCCATTGGTGTCTCCACATATCACCACATATCCCGGCCTAACTGATACTAGTGTAATTTGGCTGAGTTGCAACTGGATATGGCAGATGCAAGCAATCTAAAGCAGCTGTCCTCTTGAAAAGTGGGGTGTTGAACATTTGGTCTTGAATTTGCCGTCTTTTGTTAATCTCCAGGGGTACGCTACAGGCTCTCCTGACGCTTCTCAGTTCTGCAGTGGCCATATGGAAATCCTTAAGACTCATTGATGTTGTTCAGGGTCAAAAGCATTCAACAATTTTATTGTGAACCTCATAATATCAGCTACTAAAACTGGACTAGCTGAAATATGTGGAGTTTTTGCTTTCAATCTTCCCCAAACTTCAGTTTTCAGATAATGCCTATGGTGTGCCTAAAAAAGGTAGAAGGAACAGAGACCCAAAAATTATATTTCTCTCAGAGCTATGATGGGTAGGGTAGCCAGTTGTATAAGCAGATGGTATAAGCACAGAAAGCTCCTTGCTGTTAAGTAGCATTATGTAGAATCAGTATCTAGTAAACACTGTATCTTAAATGGCATAAAGTAGAGATCAAAATGGCTAAGAAATTTAAGTGGAGCAGCATTGGAGAGAAAAACAATAAGTCTGCCCTATGCTTAACATCAGAAAGTGCAAGAATTACATTTTGAAAAAATTATGCAACAATGCCTCTTCAAAGAGAATTATAAATGGTGATCAGAGCTACTCATAGTATTCCAACTGAGATTTAGCTGGTGTCCAATCCTGCATTCTGTGACTTGCTTTAATTGGGCTAATTGAATAACATTCAGTTTGCTTTTCTAACAAGTTATTCCACATTTACCTAGTACATTGGCAGGATTTGCCCATGATAAAGGTCAGCTATCATCATTATATAGTTAGGAGTAGGCCTAGTAGGGAGAGAACCATAATAGAAAGTCAAACTAATTTGACATTCTTTTTTTTAAATGAAAATTGAAAATCAAACCTAGATTACTTTTGTTTCATAGTCTTTAAAAGTAGTGTCAGGTGTTTAGATGTTTCACAAACATATTTTTATGCTTGTCCTCATAGGATTTGAATATTAGCAAATATCCTGAAATTTAGGCCATTTTATAACCCTTTTGATGCTAGTGAATGAGATTGGTGGAAAGTAGAATTCATTGTTGGGGAGCATACAACCCTTGATTGGACATTTGGTGCTATCCCAAAGTAACTACTTCATTACCTCTTTCCTTTTCTCTCCCATCATTATGAATTCCTCCCTTCTCCGGGGCCCAAGATAACATCTTCAATTTACTTTCACTGTATGGAAAGTAGCATATATTCCTGAATTTCAAGAAGCAAAATCAACTCTACATTTGCGTTGCTTAGACTTGGTTGTTTATGTTTCCTTCACATGGAGGAGCAGATGGTTGGAATAACTTTGCTTTTCATTCCCATTTCAAAAGGAGGCCACTTTTTACTGAGCACTAGTCAAAGGCCCAGAGGCCTCAAGTGATCCACTTCCTATCTTATTTTGGGCGCAGTGGGCAGTAAACACAATATCTCCTGCACAATTTGTTTCTGCTCATTCTTTCTTTGTAGGTAAATCACACCTTGCAATTGTACAGAGAGTGAATGATGAAGGGGAAGGAGACCCTTTCTATGAGGTGATGGGAATTGTCACTCTAGAGGATGTGATTGAAGAGATAATCAAATCGGAGATTCTGGATGAGACAGATCTTTATAGTAAGTATTAGGGGGCCACTAAGATGACACCAAATGGTTTGGGGGATAAATAAAAACACGGTAATTATAATTTTGTTTGCTATTATTTCTAGCAATTGTAAAATTCTTGCTAAAATCTCTTCATTTCCCTTGCCACAATTCTTGTTGAACATAGCTTTTTCTTATTCTCCAATTAGATCATATAGAACTTGCCATCTTTTTGTGTGATTTTTCTTGTGTAGTAGCAGCTTTCAGCTAGGGAATCAGGCAGCAATTGCTTTGATGACAAACTAGAATCCCATACATCTCAGCTTCAGTGCCCATATAAGTGAAATTGGATAAGTATATGTCTAGCCCTGGATGTTAGTATCTCATTAGCACAAAAGCAGATTCTTAAAATAGCATCTTCCGGAATGAGATATTTTACTTCATCTCATTCCTACTCCTTTCCTGGAAGACTAATCCTTGGACTGTGAAAAAATACCTTTAAGGTTGAATGATGGAACTAGAATGGGAGATATTACTGTGTATGATTAAGTTTAGAGACTGCAACAATGGAATCTTACTGACTAAATTTTAGTTTGGTGTAGTAATTAAGGCACCAAGCTATAAGCAGGAAAACTGAGTTCTACAGTCACACCAAACTGGGTGACCTTGGGCCAGTAACACTTTCTCAACTCTATGAAGGAGGCAGTGGGAAACCATTTCCAAAACCTTGCCAACCTTGTTTCTCCACACTGTCTCCAGAAGTTAACACTGACTTGAAGGCACACACACACAAACAAAAAAGATTAAGAAGGCAAGGTTTTTATTTTCTTCTTTTTAAGAAAAAATATAGCACCTGTAGTGCTGATAGTACATATTTACTTAGAAACAAATCACACTGAAAGTAAAAATGTTTAGGACTGCAGCTTTGCTTGAAAGTACCGTATATAACAATTTAAGAAAATATGACAAGTTTGCTTGAAAATTCTGTTTTCTTTTTCTCTTTCTCATACTCACTTTCTTTTTAAAATTACATATTATATATTGTGTCTGTAGTTGTTATCCTGTTAATCTAAGGCAGTGGTTCTCAACCTTCCTAATGCCGCGACCCTTTAATATAGTTCCTCGTGTTGTGGTGACCCCCAACCATATTGTCTAGTCTATTCTCTCTTCCATATTGTCTATTCTGTTCTGCTCTGCTCTGCTCTGCTCTGCTCTGCTCTGGTCTATATTCTATTCTATTCTATTCTATTCGACAATTTAGGATTGTCTTCTTCCTGGTTATTCGAAAAAGATTCAGTTATAGAAATGCCAACTTTCCAATCATTCTCTACATCTCCAAGCTCTGCATTTGGAGTGAAATGAATCCCAAATTGCCCTTAGTATATTTTATTATTTTATTTCAAACCGGTCAGAGAGGAGGGTAATTTCCCTAAGAACTGCCTGCCGTGGCGCTCGAGGAGCTCCTGTCTCTCAGCCCCGCCCCTTTCGAGGAGGAGAGTTCGGGTGGGGGAGAGCAGAGGGAAAGCGTTCTCTTCTCACGGAGGAAATTGGCCTCGGTGGCTCGCCGTACGCGAAGCCTTAAGCAGCGTGAGAGTTGGAAGAGCGAGGGGTTCCCCTTTCCGTCCCTGCTGCAGTGCTTGCAGCTTTGTGGGTTGGAACTTTCACGCTCGCGGGATTCGAAACGTCACAATGGCTCAGAACGTTCAGAGTGTTACATTGTCTCTCACGCTGCCCATCACTTGCCACATTTGCCTGGGAAAGGTAAGCGGTGTCTCGGTTCCTAAGACCATCGGAAATATATGTTTTCCGATGGTCTTAGGCGACCCCTGTGAAAGGGTCGTTCGACCCCCAAAGGGGTCGCGACCCACAGGTTGAGAACCGCTGATCTAAGGCATAAGCTTGGTAACACCTGAAATGTATTACACTTCACATTTTAATTTTTGCTTAGATATTGTAGTTTTGTATTTTAATAAAGCCTCCCTCCCCCCCAAAAGGGGGGAATATTGCTTTGGGTTGGACAGAATTGATAATATTTCAATGCTGTAGAGGAGGGGTGTCAAACTGCCGGCCCGCAGGCGAGATGCATCATGGTGAAACCACGCTCACCCCATTGCCGGCAATGGAAAAAAAGTCACGATACGTCATGTAATGTTGCAACCCCTGCTGTAGAGAATAGCTGTCTTTTATTTAAGATAAGAGAGCTTTGTTGATGTAAGATTAGCACACCCAAAATGTTGCCATGAGACTAGGAACTGAGATACAACATCACTTCTAAATTCCCAGAGTTGTGACTATATTTTTTTACTTTCTTAATCCTCAGCAGACAATCAGAAAAAGGAAAGGATCCCCCATCGGGGTAGGAAACCTCATGACTTCTCCATCTTTAGACTTTCGGATAGTGAGATGAGAGTAAAGATCTCACCACAGCTGCTACTGGCCACTCATCGCTTCATGGCTACAGGTATCTGGCTCTTCTTAGGCTGTTGCTGCATTTTTGATACTTATTGTTTGATACCCATGCTATTGGCAAGTATCATAAGTATCTTGGAATTAAGCTTTTTTAAAGAATAGAATGACATTTGTGGTTTTTTTTAATCTTATGACTTGGCATCCAACTCGTCTGTGGTTTATGTTTTAAGCAGCCAGTTTAATTTAGAGTGGATGAAATGTACAATGGCATCATTTTCTTTCTCCATTGGGGCGAGATATGGTGACCTGAAGACACCTCTGCAAAAGCAGAGCTGACAACTATAGCAAAGGCTAAGGAACCAGTGATTAAACTGTTTCCTTGGCACCTCTCAAAATAAGGAGACAACAGGAAATCACCCAATGTGCTTTGGATGGCTGCTTCTCACAAAGAAACCACAGGACAACATTTTTTCCATGGGTTTGAGTCCTGGGAAATGATGGAATCAGCCATCTTGCTTGCACCCATAGCAAAGCCTTTTAAAGCAGGAGTCCCCAAACCCCAGGCTGTGCCCACTATTGGACCGTGGCTTGTTTAGAACTGGGCCGCGAAGGTTGTGGGCACATGCACCCAGCTCCATTTGTTCAAATGGACCTTCACGCACTTGTTTTCCCATTGCTCACGTGGAACTATCTCCTCTTTTCCGCTGGTCCATAAAGCCAGAAAGGTTGGAGACTGCTGTTTTAAAGAACACTAAAGTTGCAAAGCTTACTTTCTAATCACTTTCAGAAATTGCCTATTCACTACATTAAAGCTATTAGAGACCTTCAGAACAAGTTTGAAAAGTCTTTATCAAGTGAGTTTATCTCCAACTCAAAAGAAAATTACAAGCTTAAAAACTTAGGACTTGAAATAAATAGCAAAAAGGTGAATAAGATTTTTATCTAAGAAAATTATAAATTGATTAAGCTCCATATAAAGATTTAGATTTTGGAATTAGCTATAAAAATAAAACAATTTCTCATGGGAAAGACTTATTTTGGCTATCCTGGCAATTGCAAGTCATAACAAAAGATAAGTTATGATTTTAGAAACTGGACCCTAGAGTGGATTAAAGATTTTAAAGAGAATTAATGTCAGTTAACGCTTGGACTTACAGAATGATACAAAATGTTATAACATTGGAAATATTAAAGGAAATCTTTGAAGAATTGAGCCAGAAGTTACAATATCCATACTGTCAGTAATGATGTCTGCTTCTGTGGATAGACAATGTTTAAAAATATATTAACGAAGGAATGACAGCTGTGGAAAAAATTATATGACAAGACAGAAAAAGTATAGAATGTGGAACCACAAATGACAGGCCAAGAGAATAATTTGGAAGAGGATGTTTTACTGCATATACAAAAAAACTTGCTTGTTTTAAAAATTAAAAGAAAAATACAAATGATAAACCAAGAAAATGAGCTGGAAAATCTTTTCTTACTAGATCTACAAAAGAGGCTTGTTAAAACTTTGAAAAAAAACCTGCAATGAGATAAAGAAGAATTGAAGAGAAATTAAATATTATGACAATATTTGATTAAATTAAAGATTAAGACTGTTAAATGTAAAGGCTGTAATATTAAAGTTGGTATATTTGATCAAGGTTATAACGAGACATTTTTGCAATATTCTAGCAACCCTTTATGGACTTTCTGCTGATAACTAGGATTGAAAAGTTGATGTTTTATAGATTTGCCTATAGATAAGGGATGAGATATTGGGTGAAGAGATATATGTTTAATCTTACAGGAGGTGAAAGATATTAAATTATACATCTGATGAAGGTTGGAAATCACTTGTTTATATATTTCTTTTTCTTTACTGCATTCTTCCTTTTTATATTTCTTTCTTTTTCTTTACTGCATTCTTCCTTTTTTCTTCATTCTTTTTTCTGTTTTCCTGCACTGCTAATTCTTTCTCTCCATTCTTTTTCTCTTAAGTTTAATTTGTATTAGTTTAACTGCTATAGTTCAAATTCTTAGTGTTTTTAAAATCTTAAAAAATTATCTTTCTCCAACTACCTTCCTCCTGATTTCTCCAAGCAAAGAAAGCATATTCCTGCTTTCCTCCTCTTTTCTTCCTTTGCAGAGGTAGAACCTTTCAAGATGCCACATCTCTCAGAGAAGATCCTGCTGCGGCTTCTCAAACATCCCAACGTCATCCAGGAGATGAAATTTGACCACAAAAACAAGCGAGCACCTGAACATTATCTTTACCAGCGTAACCGCCCAGTTGACTATTTTGTGCTCATCTTACAGGTTTGTCATATTATGACAGAAATTTGTAACATCAACTTTATTGTTTACTATAGGAAGCATTTATATGGTCAATTAGTCTAGAATAAGCACTTGGCTTGCAAATAAAAATCCAGATATGAGTTTCAATTTTACATACAGTATATTTGTTTCAGACTTTAAAATAAAGAGGAACCACTCAGAGCAGAAAAATAATTTTTAGAAACTTGGCTTGAAGCGTCTCTATGCTTTATCCAAATAAGTTTGACAATATGTTTTCTTCTATCACTAGTATACATTATTCATATTTTTTGAGTTTAAGTAATATCCAACTAGTCATTCAAATTTAAAGAGTACCATAAATTTGGAACTGGGATTGAAAGATTATGTTTTAATTTAATTAGTATTGTTTTAATGCTTCCCTAAGAAATTTTCTTAGGATTGGTTAACCTTGCTCATTTTTTCTTAGGTCCTTTAGTTGTACTGTTCTTCCCCTTGATATTTCCGTAGCTGCTATATTATTGAGTACTTTCGACTATAAATCAGGTATAGATGCTCTAAATTCTGTTACTACTCTTATTCTCAACCTAACCTTTCAAGATATCTTTTCTGATGTTCCCCAGCTATTTTGATTCATATTTCTATTTTTTTCTTTTATAAAGGAACACCTACAAATATTTGTGAATGAACTGGCCTTGTCTTACCTGAAGTTATTTTCTTAAGTTACATTGTGTATATTTTTCCTTTTTTCAGTGGGTGATCAGATATGGTGGAAGAGAGATGACTGGTGCAGCTGGATTACATGCTTTTGTTTTGTTTGTTTTGTTTTTTTAGGGAAAAGTGGAGGTAGAAGTGGGAAAAGAAGAATTGCGATTTGAAAATGGTGCTTTCACATACTATGGTGTCCCAGCAATCATGACTGTCATCTATTCAGGTTAGAAATCTAAAATTAACCACAGAATGGGATGATAGAAGTCACAGAAACAGAACCTAGAGTGTTCAGAATAAATGAGCCTAAATATGCAAGAACTTCCAAATTTATTCTGATTTTCACTCTACTAAACATCTAGGCAAATATCAGGTAAATTAAAAAAAAACAAAAGAGGACAGATACCATAATGCAGGAGAGGGCTAGGAAAAACTACCGGTATGTAGCAAGGATGCATAACATCTGTTGGCTCAAGAGTTACTCCAGGCTTTGCATGATACAATAAGAGTTACTACTCCAAGAGTAGTAGATCCTGGGCCTGGATCAGGAGGAAGCACAGAGGTTTGTAAGGAATGAAATGTGTAAAATATTTTTAAGCAGAACACCTTCATTTCATATTACATGAAATTGCAGTAGTGCAACATTAACAGAAAAGCGTATATTGGGAAGAAAGAGATTTATAAAGCAATTTTCTTTTCTTTACAACCAGGCACGTCTTGGAAAACCAAATAGTAACAATATTTGAGCCTGATCCAGGCAAGCAACAGTTGATATTAACCTCCTGCCTCTATGTGCCTGAAAAATGTGTCTCTTCCCTGTTCAGAGCAGACAATAAAGGTCTGATTGGGGATTCACCTTCCCTTTTTTTCCATCTTTTCAGATAACGATGGGCGTAAAATGAGCAGCCTGGCTGGATCATCTTTCCTGTGTACGTATCTCCTACCTGACCTTTTTTTAAAATAAGGTGGTATAGAGGACCATTTTCATTAAGCGTTGCCAACTCTACCAAAAAAGTTAAATAAAGTCCACCGTTTCTTGACATCTCAATCCTACTCCAACAGAATTATGAATCAGGATGGGGTAGGTCAGCTACAGTAGATAGTCCATCATGTAGTTTTGCCACATAACCATTTTTAAATATATAATCTGATATACATATTTTAGAGCAGCCGTTCTGATGACACAATTGATAGAACTGTAGATTTTGGTTAAGCCAAGGCTATTTTTTAAGGTTGGTTTACTAAACAAGACATACCTGGTCTTGTTTGCAAAACACCCTAAGGCATTTGATAAAGTAGATCACAACCTACTACTTAATAAGATAGAAAAATGTGGGTTAGACAGCATCACCATCAGATGGATCCGTAGCTGGCTGCCCGGCCGTACTCAGCGTGTGGTCCTCAATGGAACCGCATCTACATGGAGGGAAGTGTGTAGTGGGGTGCCCCAGGTCTCTGTTCTGGGCCCAGTGCTCTTCAACATCTTCATCAACAATTTGGACGAGGGGATAGATGGGGAATTCATCAAATCTGCAGATGACACCAAGCTGGCAGGAATAGCCAACACTCCAGAAGACAGGCTTAAGATACAGGAGGACCTGGACAGACTTGAACACTGGGCGCTATGTAACAAAATGAAATTCAATGGTGAAAAAAGTAAGGTTCTACATTTAGGCAAGAAAAACCAAATGTACAAGTATAGTATAGGGCAGTGGTTCTCAACCTTTTTAATGCCGCGACTCCAACCGGTCATAAGTTGAGGACTAAACCGGTCGTAAGTCGAGGACTTTCCCTGCCCGGGAGCGCCGCGCATGCGTGGTTCCGCCCCCTGCGCCGGCCGAGGCGTAGCTGGCAAGCGGCAGAGACGGAGCAGGCCGACCAGCTGGCCCAGCCCAAGGGAGGTAAGGCACCCGCAGGAAAAGGGGGGAAAAAATGGCGGACAAAAAAAATGGCGGATAGCCTTGCTTGGCAACCCCCGTGAAATGGTCGATCGACCCCAAATGGGGTCCCGATCCACAGGTTAGAACCACTGGTATAGGGGGTACCTTGCTCAATAGTAGTAACTGTGAGAGGGACCTCGGAGTCCTAATGGACAATCACTTAAATATGAGCCAGCAGTGTGCTGCAGCTGCCAAAAAGGCCAACACAGTGCTGGGCTGCATTAACAGAGGGATAGAATCAAGATCACGTGAAGTATTAATACCACTTTACAATGCCTTAGTAAGGCCACACTTGGAATACTGCATCCAGTTTTGGTCACCGCGATGTAAAAAAGATGTTGAGACTCTAGAAAGAGTACAGAGAAGAGCAACAAAGATGATTAGGGGACTGGAGGCCAAAGCATATAAGGAAAGGCTGCTGAAATTGGGTATGTCTAGTTTAATGAAGAGAAGGACGAGGGGGGACATGATAGAAGTATTCCAATATCTCAAGGGCTGCCACAAAGAAGAGGGAGTCAAGCTATTTTCCAAGGCACCTGAGGGCAGGACAAGAAGCAACGGATGGAAACTAATCAAGGAGAGAAGCAACCTAGAACTGAGGAGAAACTTCCTGACAGTTAGAACAATTAATCAGTGGAACAACCTGCCTCCAGAAGCGGTGAATGCACCAACATTGGAAGTTTTTAAGAAGAAACTGGACAGCCATTTGTCCGAAATGGTATAGGGTTTCCTGCCTGAGCAGGGGGTTGGACTAGATGACCTCCAAGGTCCCTTCCAACTTTATCATTATTATTATTATTAAGAGACTGGACAGCCATTTGTCTGAAATGGTATAGGGTTTCCTGCCTGAGCAGGGGGTTGGACTAGATGGCCTCCAGGGTTCCTTCCAACTTTATTATTATTGTTATTGTATTGTTATAATATGAAGCCAAGTATGTTAGTTAACTCATTACTTATGCTGGGAGTTGTGAAGTTCTCAGTTTAAAGTTATATAAACACAAAGAAAACTGCTTTAGTACTCTACCCTGAACCAGCTCCACAGTAAAGTATTGGTCCCCTTTGGAGCAACGCATGACATGCGCCCAATAGGATGAGTTTGAGCATCTCAGGGCAGTGGGAATTAGGGAGGATGAGGAATGACGAAATCATGGAGATATCATAAATCATCCCAGACAAAAAGGGCCACAGATAAATATTTATGAATACCCTGTTCTGCTACTAACATAGTCCATTTGATACTTGATTAATTAGTGAGATATTTAAATATGTTGATCACCAGCTTGGTTCTTTCTAGACTTTTGGACTTCATAATCAGTCATCATAGTTAATTTATAGTAAAATGAAGCTGGTGTAATACATTTTTTCTTTCCTATTCCTTTTCTGTAATGAACAAATCAAGTGCAACCCTAACCTTCATTTGGCTGACCAGTTAAGTACATTAATATATCTACCACAGGTATCCATAGTCCCCTAGGGAGATTTCTGCAGTCAGTTTTAGCTAACAGCAGCATCTATTGTTGTTCCATGTCATTGCTGGTTTCATTTTCTTCTCTACTTTTTGTTATCTCTTACTGAGGGCTCAAAATACATTTTTTAAAAAGCTCATCTTATCATCCTTGACTTACTTAGTTGCTTCTGCTGGCCCCATTTCTTTGTTTCCTTACCAATAATTCTCCCTCCCTCTCAGCCTTAGTGCTCAATCCAGAGCAGAAAAAGAAGAACATAATTTGTGCCAAACATACGGTAAATGTGTGCATTTGTGCATTATTTCCCTTGCCTCTGAAAGCTAGAGCTGGTCCCGCATAAACTATTCTGAATAGTAATATAATCAAATAAGTGTGCGCTCAGTGCAGTTCAGGTAAGTCTGTAAAAATAAGGCAACTTCTAAACCTTGGATCTGTTAACTCATGAATATTTTAAAATTATCTGCATTCCATTGTTTGTGTTTTTGGTGCCATCAAATGGTGATTTGTGGAAGTGCATCATGGATTTATAAATGCTCATGAAGTATTTATTAAATCCACTGTTTTTAATTTCTGTGAGTCTCAATGTAGTGATGTGAAGTGAGATGCAATACCCAGGATATAATGCTAGGTAGCCTGCAGAGGAAAAAATTTTCAAAACATACTTTCTGTCTATTTCTCCTTGCCCACGTTATGTAGAAATAAAACTAAATTTTCCAAAATGAAAAGAGCTTAGGTAATATTAATAGCTGTAACCTGTCCATGATGCTGAGTAGGTCACTCTTTGTTCCTTCTAAAGCAGTGTTTCTCAACCTTGACAATTTTAAGGCATGTGGACTTCAACTCCCAGAATTCCACAGCCAGCAATGCTGGCTGTGGAATTCTGGGAGTTGAAGTCCACATGCCTTAAAATTGTCAAGGTTGAGAAACACTGTTCTAAAGCTTCCTTGCTCCTTTTCCCTTTTCTCCTGGTTTTTGTCTCCTGATCCTTGTCTTCTCTCTAGTGCCCGTGTCTGTGTCCCGTACCTTTGCCTTCAGCCGAGGGGAATCTTTGGCTGGCTCCCCAGGTAACAATATACTGTACATGTCACCCAGAAAGAACCCCAGTTTTGCTGCCTTGCGATTCTGGGTGTGTGTCCTTCTCTGACTCTTTCCTCCTATGAAAAATACAGGCTTAGAATATCCTGCATGCTTGCAAAACAAATCATTGTGAACCTGTGTGCATGTGTTCTGTTTGTCTACAACTGAATCTGTTTTGCCCATATGAAGCAATATTTTGTGTCCAGATCCGTGCATATTATTAGAACGATGACTGTTTTTCTCATGCTGCTGTCATACAAAAGATTATTTTTAATAAAAGAAGTTAACATAGTGCAAAGCAAAGGACTAACTTGTTATTGTGCTTATTTTCAAAAATATGCTTGGGTCCCTTACAAAGGGCTCATTGACTTTATAAAGAATAATCTGAAGGCTGGATTGTCTTACAGGAAATGGGTAATCTGGGATTGCTGTGCTCATAATAACCACTTTTTGACAATTGATACTACATAATCTCAGTGGCTAAAATATCGCCTAACCCTTTCCACCCTAGGAAATATGTTAGTCAAAAGTATGTCCCAGTCATCTGAGGAGGAGAAAGCTATTAAAGAGGGCTGTAACGTTTCACTTAATTGACTGTGGTTCACTGCTGTAGCAATACATGCTTCTGATTGATAATAGAAATATATTCTCTCTGGTGTAGGGGGGAGTCTTACTTAAGAGATATCTTCTTAATAAAGCAGTCAAGTGGCAATAATTGAAGGAGGGAAAGAACTAATGATAATACAGAAAAAAACCTACCGGTATATAAGCATTCACTCAAAAACATCTGTGTAATTCAGACCATTAAAAGGGAAAGAATTAAAAGTGTGTGAAAGGTGTAGTTCTAAGTTATTGCCTCTTTTGAAGCAATCACAGTTTATAAAGTCTTGTGCCATAAGAAGTATATTCACAATTCTTTCTTATGCAGATCCACTTAGAAATACATCATGTTGTGGTCAGTAAACTCTCTTTAATGCTGAGTAATTATAACAGTTTCTATCAGAGTGATGACTTTTAGAAGTATAACTATAGAATTTATCAGCCAGTATGCCTATCTGATTAGATGGAAATACTAGGAGTTATTAAAAAAAACTTTGATTGTATTCAAACATCAAGTTAAGGAAATCTGTAATTCAGAATTGTAATTTAAATAATCAAGGCTCTATATCTATACAAACTTCCCAGCAGTAAGTTCTTTTTGGAATGGGTCTTTACTTTGAGACGACATGGGGTGCCATTAGTTTCTGTAGTAGTATTTCTAGAATAGGAAACCTGGAAATAAATGGAGGTAATAATACAAAAAAACAAGAAAAATTAAAAACAAAAATTAAAAAGGAGAGTGAAGGACAAGCGAATGGTCAGTAGATAGGCAGCAAAAGTGAATTTAAATATAGGAATTTGGCACTAGAAAAATAAAGAGATACTTAAAAGATTCCTAGGTTAAGTATAGATGCACCATGGAGAGGAACCAGCTACCTCCATTTCTGGAAGAAGAGTAGTATAAAGGCAGCAGCATAAAAGCTGATCCCCTTCTAGTAGAAGCAATTGAAATGTAGTCTTATATTTCACTGAGGTATTAAACCAAGAAGATTTTACTGGAATATACTTTGTTTTTCCTTTTAAAAAATCTACTACTTTCCTTTTTCAATTGTGCTTTTAGTCTTCAATCATCTTGGCCTTGGCAAGCCCTGATTATTGTTACAAAGTCCCTGTTCTGTGAGCCTGAACACAGAACAGAAAGCATAACATGTAGGAACTGGGAAACATACTGTAATGTTTTGTTTTGGAGATTTCTAAAAGAACTATTCAACACATAAACCTTCATATTTTTTCCAAGTTTATGCAGAATGAAAAGCCAAGAGCTCTTATGGGTGGAGTTCATTGCAGACAAATTTTCAGTGTTAAGAACAATTAAGGGAATCTTAAGCAGTTCGTCCCCAAATTTTAAGCATTGTTTTTTTCTTTTGTTCATCACTTCTTCTTTATTTCTAGTGAATCAATCTCCATCACGTTGCAGTGGATTAAACCGCTCAGAGTCTCCAATTCGAGAACGTAATGAGTATGGAGGCAGCAGCACCCAACTACATAGTGGCTGCAACAACAACATATACACTCCAGATTATTCTGTTCATATTCTGTGTGATGTACAGTTTGTCAAGGTATCTGCTGGACTGAGTGTAATTGAAAGAAGTGCCCTCCTTATTGTTCTTTTATGCCATGGCTGTCAAACTCGCCGCATCACGTGACATGTGACGTATTGCGACTTTTTTTGCATTGCCAGAGGTGGGGTGGGCGCGGCCTCCACATGATGCAATTGGCCCACGGGCCGGCAGTTTGATATCCCTGTTTTATGCCATGGAATATGAATAGCCTCATGCTAGGATTGTTCCATGTATCATGTCCAAGAAAATGTCTACAAGATTGCACTTCATGTGAAAATGGGTTTGTTAACTGCATAATTAATTATCAGGCATGCTGGATATAACACAGAGATAATGTGAATCTGGTGAACTTACTAACTTGACTTAGAAGTGAAGAGACAAGACAAAGTTGAATGATAAAGGAAAAATGGGTAGGAGAATATACAATTTTGGCTTTCAGCAAGCTTTTAGAAGAGACAAGGCATCCTTGTAAATCTTTGGCTTCTGATGAGTACAGATGTGCAGCCTAAAGATTGTGTGAAATTTAGCTGTTGGGAACATGCAGTTTTACTCCTCATTATTGCCAGCTGTGCTGTGAATTTACTTGACTAACCTCTACCAAATCATGAAACAGATGTCATGCGTAATGACCAGCACATGATAACAATTCTCACTTCTTATTTTGCAAATAACATTTTATTTTTAAGAAAACTATTCTGCAACAGTATAGCATTTCAGCAGTGCTATACATTTCAACACCAATAATATTAACTACTGTATATTTTTCTATCTGACATTAGCACATATACATTTCTTTCTTTGCTCTCTTGCCTTTTAAACAACAGCAGAAATGAGCTCCGTCCAAATAATGAAAGGTATCATGGTTTCAGGTTGTGTTGGATCTGGAATGCAATGATCTTGGAATAAAACCCCATTCATTAAGGGTTTTGATTACTCTCTGCTTAAATTCTGTGAGAAAAAGGCAGAAACAATATGATGAATGCAACTTGGAAAGCAAATATGGTGTTGAGGAAAGTCATATTGCTGTGAGCAGAATAGTAAATCATAAATAATGTTGCAGGGGAGAAGGAATATTGAAGGGAGACTAATGTATAGAGGGTGTAGTGGTTAAGACACTGGACTAGAAACTAGGAGATTGTGAGTTCTAGTCCCACCTTAGGCACAAAGCCAACTGGGTGCCATTGCACCAGTCATTCTCTCAGCCCTAGAAAGGAAGCAGTGGCAAACCACTTCTGAAAAGTATACCATAAAAACAGCAGGTACTAGTCCAGGCAGTTGTCAGGAGTCAAAAATTGACTTGAAGGCAGCCCCCCCCCCCCCCGGCGCCAAAAACTGTAATACAAATGATGAAATGAAAGAAGAAAAGGGTAGCTCTTCACAGGTGAGAACTGCACAGAGTTGAGGTGAAAAAGGATCAGAATTGGGAAGATGAGACAAAGGAATTTATTTAAGGCCTGATTTGTGGAAAATATGAAATATGAACCTGAAGGCAACAATAGAAGTACATAGAACCAGCCTAAATCTGAAGAGACAGGCTTCCAATGGAAACAGGGTTTTGTAATTTTACAGCAATTTTCTAGTCAATGAAAAAAGAGCGATGTGTGAAGTGAAAAAGCCCTTATACTCAGGATATAAAGTGATGGGATTGTATGTGGTAGCAGTACATCTTTCCAAACCTGTTGCCTAGAGACCTCCAGGTTTGTTGGGCATACAACACCCTTCAATGGCACCAGGTTGGGGAAAATACATAGAAATATAGTAGAAGTTAGAAACACTGGAAAATGAATTTGCAGAACTAGGTAATTTTCTGGCAATTCCTCTGTTTGATTCCTAGATTACTCGGCAACAGTATCAGAATGCACTGGCTGCCAGCCGCATGGATAGCTCTCCCCAGACCCCTGACATGGATGTTTTCAATGATGGTGATTCCACAAAGGCTCCCACAATCAGAGGTACCCCACAGACACCCAAGGATGATCCTGCTATTCTCTTGAATGAGAGAAGTAGCATTGTGGGTAGGTGTATCACCAAACATATTCCTATAGAATGACTTTGAAAAAGATGCTGTGAGAGCCTTATTGTGCAAAATTATTTTAATTCTCTGTTTTTAAAATTTATACCCACCCTAATCAGGCCAAGCTCGAAAAAGTTAAACCAACTATTTTATTGAAAATTCCTCAAAGAACATGTTTATTAGTTACAAAGTATCGGCACATCAAAAGTGAAACCATCTCCATACACATAACAATTCCCCAATACAAAGTTAAGAAATCCCACCCCTAAGGCTATGCAAGCTACTATGTTCCCCAATACATCTTCTTGGCAGGCTTTTTTCTCAACGCCTAGCCTGCAGTCTCGGGAGCAGCTGATGACCTTGGTTCCCATGGAATAAAAGTTTCTTTTGACTAGTGAAGCACCTGGCAAACCCCTTCCCTCCATGCTATGTGTCAATTGAAAATGAATAGGAAAAATGGTTACAGCTATGCTAATTTTTAGAGTTGACAAATATCCTCTGCCTGTACCCAGATTTGTATCTTATGATATATTTGTGATGAGATGTTTGTGCTCTGACATGTGCTGCTGATGTCTCTTTATATCACACAGCCAGCAGGTCAGATGGGAATATGAAGAGTCCTACAGACGCTATGTTCCTGCACATGGAGGGGATCCCCCACAACCAAGAGGAGGTGACAGGCAACCCAGAAATCAGCATGCAGAGTGAGTATTTAAGAGCATGGTAGATCAGAACAGGGCAGGAAAAATCCAATGAGCTCTGAGGGAAGGAGGAATCCCAGTCTTATTTTGACTATTGTTGCCTTGCAGAAAATGAGGCCTATATTGTCAGGCTGGAACCTGAGTCCTCAAACAGGGAAATGGAGCTCAACACATCTCCAAGTGCTCCTCAGGATCCCCTAGGAAAGAAGTTACTTTGGACAATTAGTGAGTCACATCAAGGTCCTGGGGGAGGAATTTGTTCATATAGAATTCATGGCATATGGAATGTAGTTTTGGCTCTTCAAGCACAAACACCACCTTCTCCCACCCCATCCCATTTATCCTTGATGCTATTGCACAAGTATCCAGGATAAACCAGCCAGCATGCTACTTAAGATTCCTGAACCTAAAGAGGCTGTACTGACTAGTGGGATACCTGAAGAGTGTCCCTTTCTAGAACTATTACTTTTGAGGTAGGGTTTTTTCTCCAACAGTGATTACCAACTTTGACACTGCTGCTTGATACTGCAGGTGAGAGGAGAAAACCTTCTGCAGACAGTGAGAGAAGTTCAGACGATAATACTAACTTCACATCACTAATCACATGAGTGGCAACATGGATCTGCCTTTCTCACAGGTTGGTACTATGCATTGCCCTATTCTTGGCTACTCATCACTTCCTAAGTCACTCACTCTGAATGATTTAGAACAATGTGGCTAATCATAATGAAACAAACCAAAAAGGAGAGAACTATACTTATATTTGGGTTTTTTTATTTTCAAATAGCACATAAAGATTCTGTTTTCAGCCAGGTCCATAATAGATTCTCAGGCTGTATTTATATGACAAAATTATCCACACACTAAATAGTTGCTAGTCCAATGTATTGTGAACCCAGAAACCTCTCAGTTAAATATCAGGAGAGAGACCTGTTTAAATTGAAATTACCTTTGAATTTTTTCACAGCTCTTCCCATAACTATTCCGTGCGGGCGTAGAATACTATCGCTTCTGACTAGTGGCCTTGCATGGCTCAATTAGTCCACCAAGGAAACAAGGAAGCAAAAATAAAAAATATGAGGGCATAACCTCAAACTGACAGGAGTGTAGTTAAAAAGTAACATTAGAAAATATTAGAAAATATTACCTCACAGAAAGAGTAGTGAAATCTTGGAACCAGCTTCCAGTGGAGGTAGTAGGTCAATCATCAGCGGCCTATGGGTCTTTTTCTGCTATCAATTTTCTATGTTTCTGTAAGTTGTACCTGCTGAGTGGCCCAAATACAAAGTGTTTGATTATAAAACTCATTGCCAGCATCGAAGCAATGCCTCTGCTGACTTCCTGGCCAAAATGGAAGGGACATTGATGTAGTAAAGCTTTAACAGTATTTTTCTGGCACAGGACTATGACAGGGTAAGGCAGGAAAAGGTCAGAAACCTTTTATTCCTCCAACTGGCTATCCTTGACTCAGCATAATTGTATACTGCTAGATCAGACAATAAGGAACTATGAGCGGGTTAAGCAGTTGTGCAGTATCTCCAAACTGGTCCATACTGTAGACTGCTAGTGGCCCAGTGAAGCCCACAAGATTGTCCATCACAATCTTCCCGATGTATTCTAGCCAGGGCCCACTCACAAACTCAGTTCCCACTTGTCACACTCACCATCTATCTAGTCAGCTGGCTATACCACAGCCAGACACCAATGCATACCATGATTCTGGGTTCAGCCCCATTCAACTTGTTGACAAAATGGATCAGTGGCTGAAAATTAGTTTGTTGACATTTACAACTGATACAATAAGTAACAATAAATATACTAAGACAGTAATGAACAAGTTTCAGTATCTGGAAAGCCACATTGCTATACTAAGTGGACTGCAATTTTGCACAAGCAACCCACTAAGAAAAGTGCAAACAGGGAATACAATGAATATCTAACAGTGACATTTCACTGTGCTTAGTCCCATAGTAACCAGAAAACTAGTTACCAGAAATTTCTATTGAACAATATTCCTGGCCAAGTTAGTGCTAAGATGTAATGACTTGAGGCACATTAAATAATTCCAGCAGTAATTTCTTAATTCATCTTTGTTGCTATGAATGTTACTTTAAAATGGTCTGAAAACATGAAGATGGGAAGGCACATAGAATGGATTTATAATCATATTGATTGCAAAAATGTGAACTTGCAAGCATTTTAAGATGAAAGTGTTGACAAGCATGATCCTCACATTTTCCACTTTCTTTTAGTGATTCAGGTTTACACCGATGTAAACACAGGGGTTTCTTCTCAACACTTGATATCTTTCTTTCAATCTTCTGTAAACTTCCTGTCCTAAGGATTATTTGTGCTGCTAAAAACCCTTTTTGTGCATGCTTAGTCTCTCTAATGTAAGAACTCCTAATCAACAGGTGACTGTTAAAAGGAACAATATTCATTGTACTCAAGCCAAAAGGGCCCTAGATTTTCTCAAGTGGTATGTAGGAAAATACCCAGTTCTGCTCTGCCAGTAAATCGATGAGCTGCATGAATTAGAGCAGGAAAAACAAAGGTAAACTTATGGTTCTAACAGTTGTCTTCTTTCCCAGGTCTGCAGCATGACAGCCGACTGTGACCAGATTCATGCGTATGTGACAGCACCTGCTTCTCCAACATTAACCACCCCTTACCTTTAGGGTTAAAGAGACCACAGCCATTTAAGCTTCAGAAGTGGTATCAACAAATATGAGCTGAGAAAAATCTTAGGAAAAAGTGGAAATGAGAACAGTATATAGGTGGAATGTAAAGATTCCTGTAAGTAGTTTAGCAGGATAGTATCCTCAATATCTCTGTTACTATCACTGGGGAAAAATATAAAGGAAGAGGGCACACAGGCTTTTTTCTTTCCTACCGGACATGCCACTCCATTAATGTGGTCCAGAAGAAGTTAGTGTGTGTGTGCAACATCGTACTGTACTATATACTCCCTCTGTGTTCATCTGCACATACTGGTACTATAAACAGCACTAGCAGGGTTTAGGCTGATGAGTCTGAAGTGCAGATCATGGCATAAATCACCTTGTCATTTGTAACCTGTGAATAAATGGGCTTTTGACCCTATTGATATTCTGACTTCAAATCAATTGACAAAAACAGAAAAGTTGACATCAGATCTCTGGGAGAAATAAAATTTAGTTCCTTTGATATATAGCATAAAGCACATACAGGAGATGGAGGGAGATAAAGAAAAAAATACAAGTTTTAGTAGAGATGCCCCCAAAATGTGGCCTTTATGCATCTTCTTGATCAGGCTCAAAATTGAGATCATTGAATGCTTAGAAGTGGTTTTGAAGTTTTTCCAGCTGTTTAGCTGGTAAAGATCCAAAAGTAGCACTACTAACATTTCATGGGCGGACACTTCTAACAGTGGCAGGTCCACAAATGTATTCCTGAAGAGTTACTGCAATTTTATTGTTCTTCAAGGGAGAGGCAGTATTTGCATGTGAAGTAAAATGAAAAGATTTATTCTGCCTCTATGGGACACCGTTGCTTCTGTTTATTTTTTTAAAGAGTTCTCTGCTTTTCTCTAATTTAAACTTGCTGAATTAAAAATAAATTATAGCAAAATAAGTTCATGTAGGATTGGTTGTTTCCTTAATATTGTCATTTATCATTATCTGAAGCCTCTATTTGTCACATCAAAAGCTCATCCACTCTCCAGTGCAACATGGCTCTAACAATGATGTAGTCTCTCATTTTGCATAATTTAAAATTGGATGCTGGCAAGAGTTTGGACAACATAAATGTAGCATGTCCAAATACAAACTTGATTAGATGTATTGATTTCAAGACTACCTATCAAAAATGTGTGGGGGCATAGTGGAAACTAGCAGAAAAAGCATATTTAGCTTCACACACTAGATCAAAAAACAAACAAACCACCATGCATTGTACTGTATTACAGTATATAAAAATCTGGACAGCCATTTGATGGAAGCAGAGATTGTTCTTTGTTCCCCTGTAGTGTTCATCTGGGGTTTTGTACCCCAAATCTGGTACCACTACATTATGACAGTGTGATTATGATGCAAAAAGAATCATGACCTTACACATAACAGGATGGTGGCAGAATACAGAGACCATGCAAGAGTAAATCTGCTAAGATAATTAGTGGATAGTAGCTACCTTGCACCAAGTCAAGTTTCCTTACAGAAAATACAATTTGGGTAAATCAAGATATGTTTGGGTAAACAGCCTTGTGGGCTCAAAGAGAATCTTAACATTAATTTACCCATTGAAATAAAAGTTTTCTGGTAGTTTAGAGAACACAAAAAGGAAAAAAAATCTGTTCCTGTCTTTTGTCCTCAAGTTCCTAGGAAGAAGCAATAGATTATTTTACATCAAGCACAGGATCATGATACTTCTTTAAAAATATAAACATACAATATTTAAACTTATGTTGGGTTATAAATGGGGAGCTACAGGAAGAAATATTTATTTATTCTGCATTGAGGGATAAGGTACAATTATGGTTATAGTCTTAGTTCATGCAAGACTGAAAGCCAGCAGTAATTACAATCTTGCTTCCTGAAAAACCCCATGCAACCCATAACTTGCGAGGTCAGTTATTTTGGTATCCGCCCCTGGGGCACTGTCCTTTTGCTTCAGCAGACTCCGGTCAGATGGGGTCAGTTACATAAAGTGCAGAATGTACAGATACAAGGCAACAAGAAGTGGTTGTATTCTTCCATTCTTGAAGCAGCTGCTATTAATTCTAGGTGTGCAAACTGACAGCTCACATATAGAAGGAACAAGTTTTAGTTTCAGTCCCACTGATACATGAATACATAGACGCATCAAGAGGCAAGAAGACACTTCTAGGACAATTGCAGTTCCCAGTCTCTCCTGAGCAACAAAGATGAAGGACAGTGATACTACACTTGGTAAAATGGAAGGAGACAGTTATTCTGGCTATGAAAGGTTATATCAACTATTGCATGCAATTGCATGTTAAGTTCTACCTTTTTGTTTTTAATCTCCCAAATCCAAAGACTGATTTGGAATTTAGTAAAGTTAGCAGGAGACAAAATGATTTAGAGAATTCCTTACTTTTTTTTTTTGCACGTATACAATTATCAATTCCCCTCCAGGTAATTTTCCATATATATGGAAAGATAACAATATTTATTCTTTCACAATGAGCAGTTTTGGAGAGGAAAGGGGATTTTAAGCATAAAAATGATAATGCGGAAAAGTTAAGCAGTGCCTCTTTGCCCAACCGTCTTGGCTATTCTTGTGCATAAATTTCCCCTAACAGTGATAGCTTGTGTCTTAAAAGCAGTTAAAATACTATGGAAGTGACATATATGCAATGCCCAATTTCAGATTTCCTAGATTTTGGTGACTGCTTCATAGATGGACTTAGCAACATAATCCAGGTTCTTCGTGGTCAAACCACACATGTTGATACGGCCACTGGCCATCAGGTAGATGTGTTTCTCCTTGATCAGGTATTGTACTTGCTTTACTGGAAAAGGAAAAAGACAAAATGTCAGGCGTTCTCACCAGAAACCTCAAGCAACTTTTGCTACATTTCATATTTGACCTAGAACAGTGTTTCTCAACCTTGACAATTTTAAGGCATGTGGACTTCAACTCCCAG